GCTGGCCTGGAAGACGGGAATTTCTCCTGTCGATATCAATCACTTCCAGTGTATTGCTGAACCTGCCTCATCACAATGTTAAATGTGTTCAGAGATGGGAGCTTAAACTGCCATTATTCTCACCCATATCTCTCTCTGCCTTGAACTTCTGTGAGCAATGAATTTGAGTCCCAGGACAGGGATGAGAAGACGCTGAGTTCCAAAATGAGGGTATGGGCTTTGTGGCATCCTGGGCAGAGAAGTTTATGTGTTTAGTGCACAGGCACCATGGGGGCAGGGGATCACCCCACAATGAACCTGGCCACAGGGCCATGGATGGGATACATCTCTCAGTGGGGACAGCAGCTCCATCACCTCCAACCCAGCAACCCTTTACTCACATCTGCAGTCAAATGTCTGCTCCTCCCCTGTGAAGGGTGAGGGGGCCACGGAATCCCTGACTGCACAAAAGGCTGAGCACTGCACACACCAAGAGATCTCAGGCCCCTGCCCTCTGGCTGCTCTCTGGCTGAGCCAGGGAAGGAAATGGGATTTTTCCTGGAATTCAACTCTCTGCACCGTGGCCACCTCTTGAAGGACTTGCAGACTCTCCTGATTCAGCCTCATGGCATCTCAGGGAGGTTGGGCAGCTTCCTTCTGCAATTGGAGGCCGAGTGCCCCTCCCACCTCCAATCCTGCCCTTCAGCAAACTGACAGGCAAAGGAATCAACCCAGAGCCTCTAGAGGCTTCCAAGGCCCAGCCAGGGGAGCCACACCTGCCCAGATGCTGCAGGAGAGCAGCACTCAGTCATGGCCTGCGCTATTTCACACAAGAGGAAACCGGGTTTGGGAGAGGGGAGGAGCTACGCAGACTTAAACAGACACAGCTTTAAGCAAAGTTAAACTCACAGAACAGAGAAAGTGTTCTCTACACTCTGCTCTGTCCAGATTTTAGAATCATGAGTGTGTGACCTGAGACCCTATTAATTAGATGCTTTAAGGTGATGACTAAAATTGGTAAAAAAAAAAACAAAAAACACAAAAAAAACTTAGATTAGCCAATTCACAAAAGAGGATTCTCACATGTCTCATAAGCACAGGGACAGTTGTGCAGCATCGACAGGCATCAGGGAAGTACAAATTAAACCATAGCCAGACTCCAGTACATGCCCACAAGAATGGCTGGAATTGGAACAGCTGACCTCCTGCTGAAGACCAAGTGGGGCCCTTGCAACTCCTGTGTGTAGCTGGGAGGAGTGTGCAATGGTGCACCCCTAGGACACCCTCTTGGATGGCTTCTGGGGAGGAGTGTGCAATGTTGGACCCCTAAGACACCCTCTTGGATGGGTTCTGTGGAGAATTGTGCAATGGTGCATCTCCAAGACACCTTCTTTGATGGGTTCTGAGGGAGGAGTGTGCAATGGTGCACCCCTAAGACACCCTCTTGGATGGCTTCTAAGAAGATTACACATAGAACAACCCCATGACCCAGAAAATCCATTTCTGGGAACATAAGAAAAATACATAAATATGTCTACAAAAAGCAATTGCACAAGAATGACACAATAGCTTTGTTCAAAATAGTGAAACCCAGAAACAACCCAGGCAAATGTAGAACAAATAGCAGAATCTTCATACAATGCAATGTTATTCTACGATCACTCCTGAGAACGACAGCTTTAGGGAGAAATCTTAAGAAATTATGTTGAGGAAAAAAAAAATGGGAGACATGAAATACTACACGTCACAGAATTCCATTTATTTCCGGTTCCTGTCACTTAGGTTTCTGAGCAGGCAAGACTGTGTGGAAACCGATCACAGGAGCAGTGACCTCTGGGTGTGGACTGGAAAGGGCGTGAGGGGCTTCCTGGGGGTGGTGATGTCTGTGCCTCGACTTGGGAGTGGTCACAAGGCCTGTACATATGTGAAGTCCCATCCATCTGTGCTCGTAAGATTTGTTATTTTACTGAGTGTAAGTGATGCCTCAAATAACTACTAAAAAGGGGTGATGGGTAAATCCTGCCTGATCCTTCAAACCCCATTTCCTCCTGCCCTGCCCCTCTTCTCACATAGACCCTTTCCTTAATCTCCCAGCCACACACCATCCCCTAGAGCAAAGACGTTGTTTTTGCTGTTTTTCCCCATACATGGATTCAAGATCATTGCAAATATCAACTGTGCATTTGTAGATTAAAGTGAAAGTCATTCTTGACTCCACCCCGTCCTTTCCTTCCTGCTCACCACATTCCTCTTCATTTCCAGAGAAACACTGTGGCCTGGGTGGGGGACCTATATTAAATACTGTTTGTGACAGTGATATCAGGCATCTTTACTATGTTCTTGACGTCAAAGGAACAGCTTCTGGTATGTTTTTTCTTTTCTAAGACAGGGTCTCGTCTGTCACCCAGACTGCAGTGCAGTGGTATAATCATGGCTCACTGCAGCCTCAACCTCCCAGGCTCAATCAATCCTCTCACCTCAGCCTCCTGAGAGCTAGGAATACAGGCACCCACTACCACACCCAGTTAATTATTTTTGTACTTTTTCTTGGGTAGGGCTGGGGTTTTGCCAGGTTGGCCAGGCTGGTCTTGAACTCTTGGGCTCAAGCGATCCACCTGCTTTGGCCTCCCAAAGTGCTGGGATTACAGGTGTGAGTCACCATGCCTGAGTCACCATGCCTGAGTCACCATGCCTGAGTCACCATGCCTGGCCCAGCATCCGATATTTCTAAATGACACATGACAATAACCATTTTCTCCCAGTTTTCTGAATGCTGCATGTTTACAATACCCTGGTTTGTATTCCTGTTCAGTGCCAAAAAATGGTTTCAAAATTATAATCCAATTCCTTGCAGACCAGAAGGATGCTGGAGTAAAACAAACCAGAGCTTCTTCCCCCAATCCCAGCGAGGTTCCTGACTCTGGGCAGGAAGGAGTGGCCTTTGCTCCTGGGGAAAGGAACTAAAGAGGATTCTGGAGGACTCCAAGCTCTCACAGCCTCCGGGGCTCCTCTAGGGGGAAACGTGGTCAGAGCTTGGGGAAGACAAATTGAATTCTGCTCGTGCTGACCGGCTGCTGCCCCTCACCCCACAGCCCAGGAGCTACTTGCTGTAAGGCCACTGTGCAGATGAGAGACCTTGGTCTCCACAGTGTTCAACCATTCAGCCAAGACGCGGCCAGTGAGCTGTGGAGAAGGAACCCACATCTGCCTGGATCACGATTCTTTCCACCACTGGGTAGAAGGTAAGTGAGGAATCTGAGTGTCTGGCAACATTTCTGGAAAATAACTGAGTATTATCATTAGAAGACATTATCATTAGAACCCAAGGGAATTCTTGGTGAAGGCCCACACTTGTCACACCCAATCCTGCATGGGACTGGCCAAGGCCACTGCCCAGCCAAGGGGAAGCTATGTGTCTGAGAGACAAGGAGTTCAGCGACTCCTGTGCCGTTCCCATGGAGAGAACCATACACAAACCCAGGCACCAGGGCATCCACCAAAATAATGGTGAGGAGGAGGACAGAGAGGAGGGGGGAGGTGCAGTCACAAGGCTCCCACTTTGGTGGAGCAGCAAGGGACACATTTCTCCCTAGTGTTTTAGAGGAGCATGAACCAAGAATGTATGATTTGAAAAAATGTAAAAGTGGGCGGGCACGATGTCTCATGCCTGTCATCCCAGCACTTTGGCAGGCCGAGACAGGTGGATCACCTGAGGTCAGGAGTTTGAGACTAACCTGGCCAACATGGTGAAAGAGGATTCTTGTATTCTACTAAAAATACAAAAATTAGGTGGGTGTGGTGGCACATGCCTGTAGTCCTAGCTACTTGGGAGGCTGAGGCAGGAGAATCGCTTGAACCCAGGAGGCGGAGGTTGCAGTGAGCTGAGATTGTGCCACTGCACTCCAGCCTGGGTGACAGAGCAAGGCTCTGTTTCAAAAAAAAAAAAAAAAAAGTAATAAAAGGAAAACGTTTAAAAAGCGATTTCCAGGTTTCAGTTCACTCTCTCATTGCAGTTGAGATGCTGACCTCAAGATTATTCCATGGTCACTGTCCTGGCTATGCAGACAGTGGTCAGTGGACATCCCAGTCATTTAATACCAACTACTTGGCCCAGGGGGAAGCAGTCGCTTGTGGCCCTCAGGGGCGTCTTATCTCATGGGAGCAAGTGAGGAGCATTGCCAACCTCTCCGTTACAAGTGAGTGGCCCATTGTGTGTAGATCACCAACAAGAACCCCCATGTGGTCCCCACAGGCCTGTGGATAGACAGAGGGAGCAGGATCAGGTCCCATTTTCTGGCAAGGGTCTCAGGATGAGACTATAGGTGTAGAAAGATGCTCCCAGCTCTGGGCTCCCAGTCTGAGCCAGGTGCGTACCTTGGAAGGCCCAGTGGGGAAGCTGTGGTCGTGGTCCCGCCTCTCCACATGCTGTCAGCAGTGATGCTCGTCAGATACGTTTGGTTCTCACCCTTCTGGGCACAAGGAAAAGACTGCATGTCCTGGCTCCTTGTGGTTGGGTGGGGCCAGCGACAGGCTCTGACCAATGAGTGTTGAGTGGAAATGACACCACAATATCCATGTCAAAGCAACGAATTGTCCACGTGAGACTCCGTGGGACACCCCTTCCTTCAGGCACAGCAGCCAGCAGGGTTCATAAGTCCTCCTGCCATGGGCAGAGCCTCCCTGCTGGCATGTGGTGGCCGTGCAGCATGCGTCAGGCAGAAGCTTTATGCTTTTACACCACCGAAGGCAGTTTTTTTTTGGTCACTGAAGCAGAGCTTAGCTGATGCTGACTATTGCACCTCTAATTCTTCTCCTCTTTGGGGGACCCAAAACTCTAGCATTTCCTTGCACATAATGGGAGCGCAATTAATGGATGGATGGGTGGATCATAGAATGGTCCAAAGCCCCCCAGAATCTCAGTAGTGGCCCAGAGAGCTGGGCACTCACACAATACGGAATTTCTTCTTTCCCAGATCACGCTGCCTGTGCAGTGTTATTCTCACAACAGAGGCCAATCTTGGGAAGGGCAAGTAAGTTGCAACCCAAATAGTGGGATGTTGTACAGAAGGAAGAATGTCTCCCCTGATCAAAATTACCTTCTTTCCATCCAACCAGGTTATTGGTTCCTCCAGGTGCAGAAACATGGGCCAGTGGCTGAGGCCCGGCTCCACGAGGAAATGTTGGGAGAAGGCAACACACATGGAGGAGAAGCAAGGAGGTAGAGGTGACTTCTCAAACGTGTGTGTGTGTGTGTGGTGTGTGGTGGGGGGGGGGGGGGGGGGGGGGGGGGGGGGGGGGGGGGTGTCTAACGTGTGTGTGGTGTGGGTGTGGTGGGGTGTGTGTGGGGGGGTGGGGGGGGTGGAGGGACTTCTCAAACTGTGTGGTGTGTGTGGTAGATAGGCGACTTCTCAAACCTGTGTGTGTGTGTGGGGGGTGAGCATGGGAGGCGACTTCTCAAACCTGTGTGTGTGTGGGGGGGTGTCGGGGGGGTGAGCATGGGAGGCGACTTCTCAAACCTGTGTGTGTGTGTGTGGGGGTGAGCATGGGAGGCGACTTCTCAAACCTGTGTGTGTGTGTGTGTGTGTGTGTGTGTCGGGGGGTGAGCATGGGAGGCGACTTCTCAAACCTGTGTGTGTGTGTGTGTGGGGGTGAGCATGGGAGGCGACTTCTCAAACCTGTGTGTGTGTGTGGGGGGGGGGTGAGCATGGGAGGCGACTTCTCAAACCTGTGTGTGTGTGTGTGTGTGTGTGTGTGTGTGTCGGGGGGGTGAGCATGGGAGGCGACTTCTCAAACCTGTGTGTGTGTGTATGTGGGGGGGTGAGCATGGGAGGCGACTTCTCAAACCTGTGTGTGTGTGTGTGTGTGTGTGTGTCGGGGGGGTGAGCATGGGAGGCGACTTCTCAACCTGTGTGTGTGTGTGGGGGGTGAGCATGGGAGGCGACTTCTCAAACCTGTGTGTGTGTGTGTGGGGGGGGGTGAGCATGGGAGGCGACTTCTCAAACCTGTGTGTGGTGTGGGGGGGGGGGTGAGCATGGGAGGCGACTTCTCAAACCTGTGTGTGTGTGGGGGGGGGTGAGCATGGGAGGCGACTTCTCAAACCTGTGTGTGTGTGTGTGGGGGGGGGTGAGCATGGGAGGCGACTTCTCAAACCTGTGGTGTGCGTGTGTGTGTGTGTGTGTCGGGGGGGTGAGCATGGGAGGCGACTTCTCAAACCTGTGTGTGGTGGGGGGGGTGAGCATGGGAGGCGACTTCTCAAACTGTGTGTGTGTGTGTGTGTGTGTGTGTGTGTGGGGGGGGTGAGCATGGGAGGCGACTTCTCAAACGTGTGTGTGTGTGTGTGTGGGGGTGAGCATGGGAGGCGACTTCTCAAACCTGTGTGTGTGTGTGTGTGTGTGTGTGTGGGGGGTGAGCATGGGAGGCGACTTCTCAACCTGTGTGTGTGTGTGTGGGGGTGAGCATGGGAGGCGACTTCTCAAACCTGTGTGTGTGTGTGTGTGTGGGGGGGGTGAGCATGGGAGGCGACTTCTCAAACCTGTGTGTGTGGTGTGTGGGTGGTGGGTGGTGTGGGGGGGTGAGCATGGGAGGCGACTTCTCAAACCTGTGTGTGTGTGTGTGTGTGTGTGGGGGGGCGGGGGGGCTTCACCGTGTGGTGGGGGGGGGTGAGCATGGGAGGCGACTTCTCAAACCTGTGTGTGTGTGTGTGTGGGGGGGGTGAGCATGGGAGGCGACTTCTCAACCTGGGTGGTGTGTGTGTGTGTGTGGGGGGGTGAGCATGGGAGGCGATTCTCAAACCTGTGTGTGTGGTGTGTGTGTGTGGGGGGGTGAGCATGGGAGGCGACTTCTCAAACCTGTGGTGTGGTGTGGTGTGTGTGTGGGGGTGGAGGGACGTGTGTGGTGGGGGTGTGTGGGGGGTGAGCATGGGAGGCGACTTCTCAAACCTGTGTGTGTGTGTGTGTGTGTGTGTCGGGGGGGTGAGCATGGGAGGCGACTTCTCAAACCTGTGTGTGTGTGGTGGTGGGTGGTGTGTGGGTGGGGGGGTGAGCATGGGAGGCGACTTCTCAACCTGTGTGTGTGTGGGGGGGGGATGGGAGGGCTTTCATTGTGTGTGTGTGTGGGGTGAGCACGGGGATGAGTGAGCGTGTGAGTGTGCATGTTTGTGAGAGTGAGAGTGTAAGTGTGCACGTGTGTTAGTGTGTGGGTGCGAGCGTGTGTGAGAGTGTGCAGGGCAGTGAGCGTGTAAGTGTGCATGTGGTTGTGATTGTGCGTGTGCATGCTGTGTTAGTGAATGTGAGTGTATATGTGTGAGGGTGCCTGAATGTGTGTGAGTGTGCATGTATGTGAGTGTGTGTGAGGATGTTTGAGTGTGCATGTGTGGCACAAGTGTGAGTGGGCATGAGTGTGAGCGTGTGTGTAAATTAGTGTGTGAGTGTGTGCATATGTGCATGAATGTGAGTGGGCATGGGTATAAGCTTGTGTATAAATGAGTGTGAGTGCATGCATGAATGTTAGTGGCCATGAGGGCATGTGTGTGAGCATGTTCCTGTAAATGTGCACGTGAGTGTGTGTGTGAGTGGGTATGAGTGTGTAAATGACTGTGTGAGTGTGCATGTGTCTACAAGTGTGAGTGGGCATGAGTGTCAGCATGCATGTGTGCAAATGTGCATGCGTGCATGAGTGAGTTTGTAAATGACTGTGCAAGTGTGCATAAGTGTGGGTTTGTAAATAAGTGTGTGAGTGTGTGCATGAGTGTGAGTGGCATGATTGTGAGCATGTGTGTGTAAAATGTGTGAGCATGAGTGTGAGCATGCATGTATAAATGAGTGCAAGTGGGCATGAATGTGAACATGTGTGAGTGAGCGTGCAAGTGTGCATGTGTGTGTGCAAATGAGTGTGTGAGCATGTGCATGAGTGTGAGTGGGCACGAGTGTGAGCATGTGTAAATGAGATGAAAGTGTGTGCACGAGTGTGAGCACATGTGTGTAAATGAGTATGTGTGCATAACTGAGTGTGCATGGGTGTGAGGGTGTGTAAATGAGTGGATGAGTGTGTGCACATGAATGTGAGTGGGCATGAGTGTGAGCATGTGTGTAAATGAGTGTGCATGTGTGTGTGCATGGTCACCCTTTCAAGGAACAAGGGTCACATGTTGTCTCTTCCTATGACACAAGTGGCGGGGGTGAGCAGTGGTTCATGAGAGGCGGCTGCCACTATGTGAACCCGCTGCAGTTTATGCGAATCTGTGTAACGATTTGCAGGCAGCCATGGGTGTCCATGCTGAAGGAAGACGCAAGTTCTTAGAGGCAAGCTTCAAGTTCAACGACGAAACAACTCGAAGGAGATGTTACCAGATGGAAGGTCTTGACTGTGAGTTGTCCGGGTTCTTGGCACACTGAACACAGAATTAAATGAAAAGCACAAAGCAACAAAAAACAAAGCAACAAAAGAACAAAGTAACAAAAGGAGGAAGCAACAAAAGCAGAGATTTATTGAAGCAAAAGTACACTCCACAGAGGGGGAGTGGGATCGCAAGCTGCTCAAGAGCCCCAATTACAGTGTTCTTCAGGGTTTTTATTAAGCTAAAAGAATTTGCTAACACCCCCAGGTGCCCTTTAGAGGCCTCCGATTGTTTACACCCTATGAAGCATTGGCCTGCAGGGTGTGGTGGCTCATGCCTGTAATCCCAGCACTTTGGGAGTCCTAGGCGGGCGGATCACAAGGTCAGGAGTTCGAGACCAGCCTGGCCAACATGGTGAAACCCCGTCTGTACTAAAAATACAAGAATTAGCCGGTTGTGGTTGTGTGTGCCTGTAATCCCAGCTACTAGGTAGGCTGAGGCACAAGAATCGCTTGAATCTGGGAGGCAGAGGTCGCAATGAACCAAGATCACACCACTGCACTCCAGCCTGGGCAAGAAAAGCCAAACTCTGTCTCAAAAAAAAAAAAAAAAAAAAAAAAAAAAAAAAAAAATTAAGCAAAATAGATGTACATATTTTGGGGGTGCGTGTGATATTTGATACATTCCTATAATTCGTAGTGATCAAATCAAGATGCTTGGGATACCCATCACCCCAAACATTTATCTTTCCTTTCTGTGGGGGACATTCACATTCTTCTCTTCTAGCTCTTTTGAGATCTACAAGGACAGTGAACAGACATCATGGAGGGAATGCTGGAGTCGGTTACCCACGTATCTGTTATGCCAGAGGAATGGGGTCCACAGTGGTCAGTGTGAGGCTCAGCCAGTGTGAGGGGAGGAACCAAGTTTGCACAGAGAAAGACGCAAGAGCGCCGTGCTGAGCTCCCGCTCCCTATTCCAGCCTCACAGAGACCCAGTCACACCTCGCTCTTCCCCTCATGTGGACTTCCCTGACCTACACCAGTGCCAGCCGCATTTCTGCCACTTTAAGCTGAAGCCGAGCCCGGACTGACACAGTTTTCTCATTTCCCCGAGAGCAGCACCACTCCTGATTATCCCCTCCCAAGCCCCAGGAAACTCGCAACAAAAGCAGTCTTAGATTAAATTCAGTGAGTTTCTGCATCACAACAGGAAACTGTGTCGAGCACAAAGGTGTCCTGCGAACAGGCTCAATCACAAGCTCCGCCAAGACGGGAGGTGACAGAGGCCCCAGAAAGCCCGTTCCCGACAACGCCAATACTGCACGTTTATCAGCTGCGGCGAGAGTTGGCTGGAGGCGGTGGCGGTACCTCAATGCTCCTGCCTCGTCTTCGAGATTCTTCTGTTTGATGATGCCTCCTCACTGTTTCTATAGTGTGGCTATGGTGTGGCTCACAACCAAGCGATGACTCTCCAGATTCAAAGACCACATCTCACCCTCTCGAAAGCGCCCAGGTGCCCAGCGCAGTGCCGTGTGCAGAAAGGGGTTGATGAGCATTTGCTGAGCTGGGTGATGATCCCATGGGCATTGTTTCCTCTGCCCTCAGTCTCCAGCCTGCAGACGCCTGAATGGATTCTGGAGAGGTGTGTGTTGGACTCTGAGGGTCCTCTGAGCCCATCCGGGATAACGATGCTCCTCCCAGGCGTCTGCTCGGCAGCGTGCTGTCGGCAGGACATTCCGCACCAGGTATCTTCACGCTGCTTCTGGCTGGACTTAGGGCACGATGGAAACATAGAAACAACTGTAGTTCTGCCACGGGGCCCCACATCTGCTCATCCTGGGACAGTCACGTCATCCCCACCCAGGAAGCGGCAGCAGATTTCAGGACCCTGGAGAGGGCCAGGCCCCAGTGGCTGGTCAAGCTCCTCAGGGTTAGGGGAGCAGCTCAGGAAGGCCCCCCCAGGACGATGAGGGGAACAGGAATGAAATCAGCAGGTGGGCGGGAGGAACTTGATCAGAGCAGTGGGAGGGCAGGAAGCACGCTGGGGAGGGGCCCCTGAGAGGCCACCACCCAGGGAAGCCCCTGCTGTCCCAGGGACAAGGGAAGGCTCCGCCTTGATTCCCCAGAAGAACAGCGTGGTTGTGGTCAAATCCGTCCACGGGGCAGATTTTCCCCACGACCCTGTCCCCTGACCCTAGTGGCCCCTCCCACAGACATGCCCTGCAGGGCCCAGGACACTGGCCCTCGATGGGCCCTGAGCCAGTGCCACCTGTGTGTGCACTGATTTATTGGAGGGAGGAGGAGCAGAAAGAGGAGAAGGAAACGTTGACTCCTAAATCACAAGGCAGAAAGGATTCCTGAAACAAATCAGCCAAATCTGCCTCCTAGGTGGTTCCGGACCTGCCTCCCCTCCCCTCCCCATTTCTTAGGGCACAGCAGTAACATTAACTCGGCTCCACTGCACATCCTCCTGGCCCTGGCCCTGCGCCCTTGGCCCCCGCACATCTCATGGCTGGACCTCCGTGAGGTCTCTCATTTCACGTTCCACCTTCAAATCGTCCTCTGTGAACACGTGTGTGCACGCATGTTTATTGATCTGTTTGTTTACATTTGTTTGACGATCCAGTTGCAGTCTCTTTTCATTAGAAAGCGAGGCTTGTTCCAAGCATAATATGTGCTTGTTTTGATTTCTTTTGAAAACGAAAGCACCTGAAACCTCCCGTAGCTAATTAACCTGCCAGGATTTGTTTAATGGCAGAGACAGAAAAACCCCCTCAACGCAGCCACGCAGCTGAGCACGAGGGCGGAGGGGAAGGTGCACCCCAGCCTCTTGGCTCAGGTGTTTAAGAGGAAGACACGTCCTTCTGGGATGGGCAGAGGGAGGTGGCCTGCAGGCCGGAGTAGGACAGGAGCGCCTGGGCTGACACCTTTTCCTTCTCCTGCCTTTCTGCTTCGTGTCTGTCTCCCCAGAGACAGCAGATATGCCCAGCACCACGGTGGGCACGGGAGACTCAGCCCAGCCCTGAGAAGCGGCCCCAGGTCCTGAGTTATTTCACAAGCGGAAGGGAGTACATGATGTCCGAGGCTCCATCCCTCCCATCCCTGCTGACGGCTCATCAGTCACAGCAGTTACAGGGAACGGGAGAAGCCGCCATCAGGGAGGTCCCTTGGCTGCAGGATAGATGATTCGTAAATTAATATTTCCACCTCCAATCCAAATCATGAAAATGAGACATTACATTCGATTACAGCCAGTTAAAATAGCAGTCATCCTACCTTGGAGTGGTCTCCTGCCTTGTGTTGGCAAAGCCTCCAAGTCTTTCTATGTTATTTCCTCATTTGTGCCTAACAAGTTCCTTCTAGGGAAGAAGGGCCCGGCATCATCCTGCCCACCGTGCAGATGGAGAACCCGAGGCTCAGTGGTGCTTTCATGCACTTCCCGACCTCCCAGAGGCTTCAAGAGCAGGGGCCGGCTGTACTTCTCCTCCCATGCTCTGCTCCTGAGCCAGCAGTTTCCCCAGCCAGGCCCTGCCCCAGGCTCAGGCTGGGCCATGATTTCCTCCTTAGCCTGCCTCGCCCTCATCCTCTGGCCTCCAAGCACGGAGCACCTCCCTTCTTCCAGGCAGCCGAGCCCAAGCCTGGAGCTCCTGCGCAGCTTTTCAGGATGTCCCTGTGCTTCCACCTTTGAATAACCTTAGCGGGAGACACGTCCCAGTGCCGCTCTTCTTCAATTTGCCCTGGGGTTCTTTTCCGCACTCGTGGCCTCTCCTTGGGGTCCTGCGGGACACACCCCAGGCTGCTGCCTGCACCCAGGCCTTACACTCCCCACACAGCTGCCTGGGGTCCCTCCCCAGCCTGTGTTAGAGGGTTTCACTCTCTGCTTGTGCCCCACAGGGGCTACACCTGCCCTACAGAACCTGTGCCATTCAATGGCAGCAGAGGAGGCCCTTGTCCTCCCCAAGGGCCTGTGTGCTCCCCAGGGCCCCTGATCCCTGCAGGGGGTTGTGCCTGTGCCCTGTGACCTGTTCTGACCCATGGGCTGTGGACTTCAGGGACAGGAGAGGGCCCAGGAAGCTCCCCATCCTCTGTTCCAGAGGCTGGGCCAGGTTCTGTCCCTGCACCACAACTTCCACACCCCTGCAGCCCCAGTTATGGCCTCACAGTTCCTGTGGTGCAGTCTGGGTAGCTCTTTCCTTTCTCACACAAGAAACTTCAAGGAAGGAAGTGGAGAAGGGGCCCAGACCCTCCTGTCCTGAGATTGTCCCCAGACCCTCCTGTCCTGAGATTGTCCCCAGACCCTCCTGTCCTGAGGTTATCCCCAGACCCTCCTGTCCTAAGGCTGTCCCCAGACCCTCCTGTCCTGCAGGCCCCCCGTGGTCAGGCAAACAAAGGGTACCCTAACAATAGACTCAGCAGGGCAGTCTCAGCAGGGGCATACCAGGCTTGCTGGTTGTCCCCAGTCCAAGGCCCCCTCTGTCTTCTTGAGCCCACTGGGAAATGGCCCAGCCCCAGGAGGCCCTTCCTCTCTTCAGGGCCACACTCACTGGGGACCCGTCTGTGTTCATGGTGCTGCCTGTGCCTGCTCTGGTGTCTGATGGGGCTGAGACAAGCCCCGCTGTGAGTTCAGTCCCAGAGAAGGTGGCAGGGAGGGGGTGGGGAGAGGAGGAGCACTAAGAATTCCATACAAATGATATGCAAATGAGCAGCACATGCTCGGGTTTGGATCCTGTTTTCTTCCTGGCCTCATTCCTGCTGGACTGTGAACCTGCCCTACTTTCTGTCTCCCAGTTACAGACTTTTTGGGAAAAAGCATTTTTAGCTACCAGCACTCTCACAGATCCAACAGAGCCACAGCGAGGCTGTGAGACCCCACCCACCACCTGGGAATGGAGCCCCCTCCCCACCATCTGCTGGCTGTGTCCCCACCCCACCCCCAAGTTCTTCTCTCCTCCATACTCTGCCTGAGTCCCCTCCTCCAAGAAGCCTTCGCTGACCAGTGCAGGCCACAGGGTCCTCCTGGCGTTGTGGGGACACAGCAGACAGGACACTGGGCAGGTGACCACGAGCCAGTGAGAGTGGGAAGAACTCAGAAAACTCATTTGAGAGGAGAATTTGAGCTCTGCAAATTTGTATCCATCTATCCATTCACTCATCCATTCATTCATTCACCCATCCATCCGTCCATCCATCCATCCACTCTTTCACCTATCAATTCGTCTATCCATCCATCCACCTATCCATTCATCCATTCGTCTATTCTTCCATTATTCACTCATCCATCCATCCATTCCTTTATCTGTCCATTCATCCATTCACCCACTCATCCATCCATTCATTCATTCATTTACCTATGCATTCATCCATTAATTCATCCTCCCACTTATCCATCTATCCATCAGTCATTTTGTTCATTCATCAATCCATTTCTCCATTCAACAAATAGGGGACAACTGAGACAGACCAAGACCAAGTCCTGTCCCTCTTTGGGCTTGTTTGTGCTGCAGACAAAGAGTAACCAGAATAATCCGCGGTAAAGCACTGGGTGGTGATAAGGGAAAAAAAATGAAATAGGTGAAAGTCAGCGTGATATAGCAGGGGTGTGGGCGAGGCTCCTTCAGATGCGTGGTCAGCAGCAGTAGAAGGTGTTCGAGCCACAGGAGCTGACTCCTGGGGAACGGGAGCAGGTGGAGAGGAGGAGGCCTGGGATGAACTTGGCAGGAAGAGGAACGCCCACCAAGGAGACCCGGGGGGGAGCCTTAAGAGGACCCTGGCCAGGCTGGGGCCGGGGGCAGTGCAGCAACACCAGCACTGGGGAGGACAACGCCCACACCGGAGACTCGCACTTCCATCCGGATATCATGGGGCTGAAGGGGGTCCTTCTACCTGCTCTGTCTCGGGGAAATGAGGGACACCCCGGCAGCAGGAGAGCTCCGTATACTAACAGAAGCCCCTATTTAAGAATTCTTGTGGCCAGGCACCCTCATCACCTCCTGTTTCTGAAATAGACGTATCTTGTCCTCATTGGTGTTAGTGACACAAACCCCACTGGAAGAACCTAAACCCCAAACGGGGATGAATGGCTCAATCTAGGGGAGGGGCAGAGCCACCTGATTTGAGGTCTGGGTGTATCCAGGGCTCAGGTCACAATCACCAAGGCCTGCTCCACCCCTGGCTCTGCTTCTTCCACGTGGACTCCAGTATCAAGCAGGCTCTGTCCACTGGTCCCAGGGGAGCAACCTGTGCCATGCCCCCTCAGGTCACAGGCAATGAGAAAGGCCAGAGCCTCTCAGCCCGTTTCCTTGCATCTGATTGGCTCTGATGGAGTCACACCCCTATGCCTGAGCCAATCACGTGCCCTGGGACAGCCGTGTGTTGATTGGCTGTGACTCGGTCATGTGATCTGTCCCTGGACTGGGGATGTCCCCGAACCACGTGGACTGAGGCTGGGTGAAGGGCGGTCCTCAGCGGCCTGTTCCAGGCACTGGGGGAATGGCTGCCGAGTGGTGTCCCTGGGAGAGCATCAGTTTCCCTGCTTTAGAGAGGAGGGAACCATGTCAGTGGTGAGGATGGCTCCGGGGTCACATAGCACAGCTGTCAGGGTCGCACTGGGATTTGGACCTGCCTGGAAGGCCGGGACTCTGACTCTGACCGCTGGTTGAACTGTCCTTGGCCTGCCTCTGGCCCTGAGCCGCAGGTCAGCTCTGGAGATGCCTGGGTGGCAAAGGCGCGCCCCTTAGACCCTCTCCATTTTACCCACAACCTGACAATGAGCCCAGCACAGGCAAGGACCCGCAGACAGTGCTATAAATCTACCCCTCGATGGTAAACTGCAAAGCAGCCATAAAGTCTTCAGGAAACACATACCGTATGGCAATTAAAATGATGTTCTCCCTCTCCGTCTCAGGGATGAGACATGTGAGGACCAGTGAGAAGTACGCATCTTTTACAATGAATGTCAACAGACTCTTACAAATGAATTCACCCCAGACTACCTTGTCAGCTCCTGGGGACACATTTAAATCGCCTTCTGTGTCTGTAAGTATCAGCTTGTCCTGGAGTCGACCCCAGATCTGAGAA